TGCTTTGATTTACTATTTCTTTTTCTCCACCTCGCTGTCTCCTTCTCCCATTTGGGCCCAGCCTCTTCAGAGGAGAAGTGTTTTCCTGCCATATCCAAATACAATAAATAGTCCAGTGGGGCCTCTTGTCAGCTAAGCCCAGGGTATTATCATAATGGAAATTAGTGCAATTAGAACGGATAAAAGATAGGTTACCCCAGTGGCCATAAAGCTGACATCGCAAGAGGACAAGAGAAAAGAGTACGCTCACTTTGAATTTGCTTGTCAGCTCAGCAAGGATCTGGTGTCACAAACAATATGTTGTAAAGAAGTCAAATTTCTAGCGGCAGCCAGTCTAGGATTAAATTACATTTCTCATTGGACTTAACTTCAGACTGAATAAAAACCTGTCTCCAGGCAGGCTGGGGTCCTCAAATCAACATGTTCCTGCTATTTAACTACATGTGGGACTGCAGATACAGATAGGGAGATGGGTGGATGTGGCTGTCTCTTGTGATTTTAATTTCATAGCCATTCACTTAAGATGATTACTGAATCGCCTGGGGAATTTTCCCTGAATGACATGACTGCACTAGCCCCACTGAATTACATTGAACTCACCCATTTCCCATCTCTCATGCAGGGAGGGTGTGAAATGCAGCCTTTTTATGTGTGTTTTTAGAGATGAAACCAAGTGCAGCAAGGAGCAGCCATGATCTGCAGCAATAAAAGGCCTGGAAAATATGACTTATGAGGGGAGATGGAAATAATGAAGGTACTCTGGGGACAGCCAGTCATATCCCCATATATCTCCCAAAAAAAGTAAAGTAATCTAGAAGGCAGGACAAGATGTCACTTAGGTTAGGCATTGGGGGAAGTTTCTAACACTGACAGCAGTGAAGCACTAGAGCTGATTCCCTAGGGAAGGTGTGAATCCTCCATCCTGGCTGGCTTGGAAGAACAGGCTAGACAAATGCTTGTCGGGGATGATTTAAGTAGATGGGATCCTGCTCCAGGCCTAAGAGATGGATTAGATGCTCTCTCTCAAGGTCCATTCTAAACAGGTGCCTATACTTTTATGATTTCACAGTGTGTATGAAGGGCCTGTCTTCTTGAGGATGTCTGTGGTTCCAGAAGCAGAGGAGGTGATAATATGTTAGTCATCAACGATACCGTGCAGGGAAGTGAGGCAAGGACCGGGAAGGTCAGAGAAATTTGTGAGCAGGAGAAGTTTGAAATCCAAACCTGAAAATAACGTTGGTGGGAGGGGTTGTTATGGACAAGTGGGTGGAGGTCAAGAACCAGACAAAGATCTAGGTTCAAATGCTGTTTCCATTGCACACTGTCTTTGGGAAACCGGCTGTGTTTATGCAAGAGATCACTAACTCTCTGAAACCGCATCTTACTCAGGAAACCCTGGTGCTGAAAAAAAGCTGAGGCTAGCAGAGCATTGTGGGGGAGGGGAGTATCATACATGTTTTTCAGGGTCCTGTACACCACCAATGGCTCTCATATTGGCTCTAATATCTTACTGGCTCTGACCAGTAAAAGACAACAGCTCAGACAGTGTCCCAAAAGCCCAGGCACAGTTTCTGTGGGAGCGACAGAGGAGAAGCTTCTTCTATAGCTCTCTTTATCTAAGGTGCGAAAGGACAGAGCCACAATATGTGGGGACATTTTGACAGATAAGTCATCTGTAGCCCATAAAAAATGGCTCTAGAAGGAGAATCAAATCCACCCCTCTTCTGATCTGATCGCTTGCTTTCCAGAACAACTGGAGAGATTGGCAAAACCTGCCAAGCTGGTTAACCAGGCAAGAAAATATAAGACAGAAATGCTAACCACACAGTGCAAGGATTAGAGTGCTTATCTCAAACACTGAGAGCAGGAGGAGTCCCATCGGTTGCTGTACTGCTTGCTTGCTGCCTACGGTCTGAACAAGCTTTTAACGATCACTTGTCTCTGCTGCAGCTGCATGAATTAATAGATCAGCCCAACTGTAGGAGGTCACTGTAAATCTAATTCCCACTCCTGAAAAAAGTTCCCAGTCCCAAAAAACAAATGCTCCATTGCGTTTCTCCATCACTGCTGCACTACCTAACCCCAGCCCAAGCCAGAGGGGTGGAGATTTGTTGTCTCTTTCCACCTGATTTGGGATCAGGGCTTGAAACAGGAGCTGGGGAGGGAGGGCTGGTGGCACTGAGAAGGTTCACAAGAGCAAAACCTTCCCTCCATATGTGGCGGCAGTGGCACGGCAGTTTATTCACTTCAAAAATAATGCGCTTGTCACTAAGGGGGTACCAGCACCTGAGGGAGGGGGAACTGCACCCCAAAATGGAGCTTGGGCAGAGACTCACAGAGGGCAGCCATAGTAACAGGTTCCCCTGGAGGAACAGGGTCCTTAACAGCCCCGTACTGCAGCTGGGTCCCAGCCTGCTGTGCTGAGAGCTGCCCTGGCTCCTGGCCCCGGGCTCCCACCACCAGTGTGGGACCTGCCCTGCCTGAAGCCGCCTTTTTTTGAGGGGTTAGTTTTCAGCCAGGTCATTCCCTTAGGAGGAAATGTACTGTTGGCAAAGGATTTAGGAACCCAGGAAGAGAAGCTGAGAGGGCTGAACACTGAGCTGTTTGAAGAAAAGGCTGGAAATCACATGACCATGCAGTCTTAATAAAACAATTATTTAAATATTTTCTGCTGTGGCTAAAAACGCCCATGATATTTAACATGTTATCATACATGTACAACATCCTAGTGAAACTACATATAATCTACCTGACTGAATATAATCAAATCATGTAACTTCACGAGATCTAAACAATTAAAGGAGTATAAAGGAGATTTTATTTTACTTTTAAGCCTACACCATTTATGGCAACAACGGTGTTAGCATTGACAAATTGTTGGTAGCCTGGTCAGCAATTATCTTTTCAATTGAAATAATTGCCAGGGAATCCAACTGCTTTTCAGACATCCTTGAATGAAGATAGATTTGCATCCACGTTAGCATGCCAAATGAGTCGTCCACACTTGCATTAATGATCAACAATGTCATCTGCAAGCAATCAAGACAACAGCAACTATTTAATCCTAACCCCCTGGTGACGAGGTAAAAAATAAGTCCTTTTTAGACATTCATATTTCAACCTTCTCTTCAGTGAATTGCTTCAACACACAAATTGCTTCAACATCTGCAAAGAGCAGAGCTAGCTTGCTAAGAGTATTCCAGGCTGTCCAACGTGGCAGATCAGTCTGCCATTTTTAGCTAGTCCATGAAGCTAAAGCTAATGCTGCCATGGGCTGGTGTCAATAGACAACAAGTGTGTAAGAGAAGGAGAAATCCGTTAATACGCAATTAATATCCATGCCTTTACTTATTATTAGTGACAGTGGTCATGGACTACTGGAATAAAAATTCAACATTTCAGGGATGATAAAAGTGGCAACAAAGTTCCAAGTCCTGGAAAGAGTAGTATCCAAACAGCTGCCGTTTATTGCACCCTGGAGTTTGTAAAGGAAGCAATGAACACAACAGGGATTTATAAACTTCCCTGAAGAGCCTAATCTTGTAAGCAAAAGCAGAGCCAGTCAAAGCCAGCTTGGAGAAGAGGCACCCATGGACTGTAACTGTTAGGCTGATCTGAGGGATTCTGTAATACAAGGATTCATTCATTCATTCACTCACTCTTTACCTCTAGCTATCTACTGCTCACATCTGGACACATGTGGCACGGGAATCCTCCTTACAACAGACTGTGAGATACTTAGAAATAGGAGATGCATAATGGTAAAGGGATTCATGTTTGCCATTGACCACCTTTATTCTTGAAAGTGTGACTTTATCACTTTCCCACCCCTCTCTTCCCACTCGGTCA